AAAAAAAAAAAAAAAAAAAAAAAAAAAAAAGATCATTACATGTATATACGACAGCCACCATGCCCACCCTTTTTCTGCAAGCCATAGCATTCAAAGCAATTTTGAAGATCCTTAAAGACAAAACAAGCAAATGTTAGTCAGACTTTATTTTTATTTTCCTTGTCTTCATTTTAATTGTTAGTATCTCTGCAAATGCACCATAGAGCACCAAGGTTAACTTTAAAACTGTTGGGCACTTTTTTCTTGCAAGCTAATAATAGTTATTTAAAAAAAAAAAAAAGAGTTCCTCTAAAGGTGGAGCTCAGCACCATACATTAGGCAAATGTCCCGGGGCTCTCTGCGGGGGAGCATGGCCAGCTCCTCTGGTTTGATTCATTGCAGCAGTTTTTTCAACAGCTTTGTTCTTAGATATGAACAGGAAAAGAGCACCAGCTATTCTTATAAGGACCCAAGTCTCCAAATTCTGCTGACCTCTTAGTTGATCTTTTAAAGTTAGGACACCCTTAAGAATGATTGTTTTTTGAGTTCAGAGTCTATTAATCTGGATTAATCTGGTTTGCACTCCCTACAGGCCAGGAAGACACAAGTTTCTCAGCACAGCAAAGATCGTGTCTGTTGTTAAACTCAGAAAAGTCTGAGGGAGTAAAGGTCTGAGTGAGGTTTTGCCAAACAACAGAAGGCAAAAGCTGGCTTCTTTGTCCTTAGGGCTACTGATCCCTGTTGGAGGAAACTTTGGCAGAGGCAATCCCTCCCTTCCTGGTCTTTAATCTAGGTTAAATATCACCACCCCTGTTCCTCCTCCACCACCAGGACAAAGAGTTATACTACTATTATACATTGTACTCTCCTGTCCACTATTCCTTTCCCAAAAAAAAAATCACATGACATTAAGGAAGTTTAACTGTCAAATAAGTGAGATGCTATTATCTGTGTATCGTATATATGAAGTATATGTAGCTAATATCTATATATAAATTCTCTGTGTAAGATTCAGCCCCAAATAAATGAATGAACAAACGAATGAATAAATAAATAAATAAAACTATATTAGCAGTTTGGAGTTCTGAATGTATTTAAATGATCATTGTGAGGCAAAGATTCTGACTTGCCTACCAAAATAACCATTCTTGCCTGTAATCCCAGCACTCTGGAAGGCCAAGGCAGGTTGATTACTTGAGGTCAGAAGTTCAAGACCAGCCGGGGCAACACGGTGAAACCCCATCTCTACTAAAAAAATATAAAAGTTGCCGGGCGCGGTAGCTCAAGCCTGTAATCCCAGCACTTTGGGAGGCCGAGGCGGGTGGATCACGAGGTCAAGAGATCGAGACCATCCTGGTCAACATGGTGAAACCCCGTCTCTACTAAAAATACTAAAAATT